AATAGGAAGAGGGTAAAAATGAAAACAAAAAACCTAATATTAAAAGCAACCTGAAACAGTTTAACCTAATTGTATTTCAAATGAATACTTAATAATCACACTGAAGGGGAGAAAAGAAAGAACTAATACAAATAACTGATGCACATAGCATTAGACTATATACCCTCAGTCTTGGGCAAGGTGGGATAGGGGAGAGAACCACAAAATCTGAGCTCTTTCTAGTTGTCGTTAGGTGCTGTCGCGTCGATTCTGACTCATAGCGAACCAATGTACAACAGATCAAAACGCTGTCCAGTCCTGTGCCATCCTCACAGTATTTCTAGTAGGTTTTTTTTTGTTTTTTTTAAGAATAATATGGGCAGAGTGATTCTGAAACAACTTTAGATGTGTTACAGGATTGAGCAAATGAGTAAATGTGCTGATGCTGTTAGAAGTCAGAGTTCTCGTTGTAGAAGAAGGGACATACACATATGGAATAGCTGAAGGCAAGAAAGAATCCTGTGGGGATAGACTGGAATTGGAACTATCACTGTGGATTCAAATGACTTCTAAAAATATATGTATGTATCTTTGTGTATGCACATGTATGTGCTCAAGCATATTGTACATAAGCATATATATATATGCATGCGTATATTCCCAGCTCTGTCCTTTGAAAAGGCCAAGAAGCAAAAATACCCCAGTAGCAATAAGCACATTTAGTGCCCAAATTTTGGTCTCTATTCCCCACTAAAAGAAACCATGGCTCCTCAGATAAATGACTGATTCCAGATCTGAGACAGCATACATATAAAATATGGCTGAAACATTTTATAATGCCAGAGAGTAAGTAAATGCTTTAAAAAAAAATGATGGCGGAATGTCACAGGAGTCATCTTGAAGGGGCTTCCACTGGCCAAATATGAGATAATTTGAGCGTCAAAATAATTAAGTACCAGGATTAATTATAAACCATTGGGGGGAAAGTAGGAATCCACAAATCCATATTGTTAATCAATAGATGAATAAATAAATGGGAGAGAAGGGAGGGCTCTTGTGTACAGTCAAATGCTGAGAGCTGTGACACAGCAACTGGAAAGATTAGATAGGAACCTTGGTGGGCAGCGAGTTTATGTCAATGGGGCAGGAACAACTCAGAAAAGGAGGGTGAGAATGGTCACACAACTCAAAGAATGTAATCAGTGTTACTGAATGGTATATGTAGAAACGGTTGAATTGGTCTATGTTCTGCTGTGTATATTCTCAACAACAAAAAAATAAAATAAAATAAAATGCTAAGAGCCAATTTGTTAGTGTGAAGGAAATGCTAGAGTTGGAAAATCGGTATTTCACAACCATCATAGTAAAGATAAGACTGTGTAACAATCATCGGTAGATGCTAACTCTAAGGGAGGTTTTTGATAAGAAGCAAGATATTTGCATGGTCTGAAAATACCTCCCCACAGACTGCTTATTAGTTTCAGGGGGAACTAATACAGCAGAGAAATCAGATAGCATCTTGACCGATGATCAAAATTAGCATTGCTAACAAGGGACAGATGGACATCTCAGGCCTCCAGAGGTGATGCCCTGGGGAGCACACAACTTTACCTGTGTAGTATTCTGACTGTGAATGTGTAACCTGAATCTTATCATAAGGAAGATAATTATCAAATTCCAAATGAGAAACACTCCTTTTAAAAACACACACACACAGTGCTTCTTAGCTCAAGTAGATACATGAGACTAAATGGGCAGCTCCTGTCTGGAGGCGAGATGAGAAG